TGCTTATTTTCCTATTACTCTCGTTCAAGTAGCTATGATGGAGCTAATATAGAGAAACTCCATCAGAAGTAGCAGAATTATTTTGCAGCGGTATCTCTCTCTAGCATTTAGTAATGTGAAGGCTATTATAGTTGTCAATTTGAACTGTAGTTATTTAAGAGTGAGTACTTATTAATATTATGTTACTTTCAGTTGTGTACGTGTCACTTGTTGCTTTTTTAGTATGAAACAAATTATTGAAGTGTGTATGAATATTTGCGTTAATTTTAACTGTGTTTTTTGCTCACATATAAATAGCCTTGATAAGAGTGGTTAAACATAAAAACCAATTATATGGCTTTATCAATGTATGTGTGAATGAATGTGTGTGTGTGCATTATGTAGTTAAGTAAAAAAAAACATTATGTACGTGTTACGTGCAGTATGAACGATTAAGAAACCTAAGAAGAGAAAAAACACGAAAAATGAAGTAAATTTTTATTGCTCTGTTATATACTTATTTGGTAGAAAGAATAATCAGTTTTCCGATTATTTCAGATTACTAATATTGTTTGAGCTGTGCTTTAGTTGAGCTTTAATCAAAATTTCAAAGATAAATAATGATCGGATATCATATTCATTGTTTGGTGTCGTTCTGTATAATCACTCCCACCAGATTAACCAAATACAATTGGTTATTTTTTTTTGCTTTGATGTTTTTTTAGCCATATTTCCTACTATAATCGACAATTAAAATCTACTTGACATTTAATAACAATATCGGTCTAGTTGTTTTAAATAATTTTTAAATCACATTCTTTTAGTTATTTCTAATATGACTAAGTTATATTCAGCCGTAAGATAGAGCTATTTACAATGGAAGTATAAAATTGAAGTAAATAAATAAGTAAATCAGCTTTGATAGTAGAAGTTAAATATATGATCTTATATAATGTGAATGTGCATAATACCCAATAAAGATGATTCTATATTAAAATAGCAAAAATCTTTTATTCGTTTGTATGCAAATAATAGACTTTTCCTAGAATAGTTGTTATTTTTCAAAACTTAAATTCGTTTGAATTTTACGGATACGACAGTAACTCTATCACTCGAAAATGTCTAATGCACACACATGATAGAATTAAAAAGCATACTCAACGTTGTTTTATCTGATTTTTTATTCTCTTTTAAGCAATTTATTATAGAAAATAATATAACAGTTGTTTATTGCCAGCATGTGTTGAATGTTTGAAAAATCGACTATAGTCACCAGTTTTTATGATAAACAGAATTTATTTGTACAAGTACAGAACAAATATTGAGAACATCAATCGAATTAAACTATCATTGTGCTTCTATCTTTAATAGAACTATTTATAGTTGAGTAATTATAAAGGTTTATCTTTTTGTTCGATAAAAGTGTTTCATATTTCTTCTTTGTTTATAAAATTAGATTAGTAAAGATCTGTCTAGAATTCGTCTTAAATTAACCTAGTGTGTCTTGTTGTTTTGTTAACTGATCAATTGCATTTTGCTGCATTATGATCGTGATCTCTATTACATTTCAATTATAATGTTGTTTACCTAGTCTTCTATGATTGTGTTTTTTTCTTTTTTTTTCACTGATCGATGTTTCTTATACAAATATATTAATTAGCACAATGTTAAAGTTGACTTTAGTTTTGATACAAGAATAGTTTCTCTCTCAATACTAGCACTGTACGAGAATAAAACAACTGGCAAATAGATCCATGAAAATATTTCTTTGTGAAAAGGGTAAACAGTTCAAGTTGTTTCATTCGCTGTTTATTCTCAAATATTCAAGAGAGGTCTTCATTTCTCTACCGTCTAGTACGATGTGTGATTTGGCAAGTAATTTAAATTCAAGATATTTCCGAGAAAAAAAACAACTGTCTATCATTTGTTTGTAATGTTTTGTACAGGCTAGTTTTGGAAGAATATTATTTGAAGAATGAAAAGAATTTTTCACATACAAGTCGAATACATGTAGTTATGCTGATTACAAACAAATTTTAATCTAAAACATTTTTTTGTTTGAAATCCGTATGCTCCTTTATTTATCTGTTGTGATTTATTTTATAGTCCATCTATCTATCTCTATACCCTAAAAGACAGATCTTTTATGTTTATATCACTTGACTATTCCGATCAGTTTACATGTCTAATTAATCGTTAAAATGTTAGATGAATATGTACGTATATCCTAGATAGATATGGGTATTTTCATAATAATAATAATAATAACGATGAGTTTGTTTGTTATCTTCTTTTTTTCTTCTACTGTATATAGATGGAAAAATTGATTGCGGTCAATAGGTTTCCGTTCGATGTCTTTTAAGTAGCCGTTGGCTACATACACAAACATAGATAACGGGACTCTCTCTTTCTTTTCTTGATCATTAAGGACCCTGTACATTATCGTTAATTATAATAAATTTATCAAGATATACAACAATTTGATGTCTATAATGGTCGTATTTCTTTTCATATAAACGGAAAATAGTGTGAGTAGAATATAAAAATGACTTCTTGTAATATATTATATAGAATATATGAGATATATATTCTGGGAGGTGTGTATGTCTGTGTAGATAGATAGATCAACTGCTGCGCAATAAAAATGATTATAATAGGATGTTAGAGAGGGAAAAAGAAAGCTACAAAATAAATTGATTTAGAGTTAGTTAGTTCTTTGATGTATAAAATTCATCAACCCAGCATATATATATATATATATATACTAGGGAGGAAATTAACTATAGATGACATACAATTTCTTAAAAGAAAATAAAGGAAAGACTGGTCACCGGCGAATATTATTTCGATTAAAGAATGACTATAGTTCACACGTATACTCAAAATTAAGAGGAAGACTTAAACGGGAGACATAACTGTTCAAGACAAATCTTGCACTCGATTATTACGTTTATTTATTTTCTTAACTATGCAATCGGATGTTCTTGGACATTTCCTGTCTTTTTTTCAGCAGAAAATAGTTCTTATTTAAAACAAAGCATTAAATAACAGTGCAGTTCCTTTTCGAGAAATGAATAACAATAGTGCACTGTTTCTATCAGTAATGAATTGTAATATTAACATCCGATTTGATATAAATTTTATTCTTCCAGAATACAAGTGAGATAAATTCCAAAGTGAGAACAATATAAAATACATAAGTGGAGTATAAAACTGTTATAAAAGATCATTATTGAAAATTTAAACTAAAATTATTGATTGATAGATACAATGATTTCGATGTTTATCATGCATCATTGTCAGAGATAATGGTGAAAATTGTACATAAGCGTGACAGTGATGCGTGATAAACATCGAAATCGCGTATCAATCAATAACTTTAGTTTAAATTTTCAATAATGATCTTTACAACACTTACTATTTACGAAAAGAGATAGATTCTGATATAATATTTTAAAAACTTTATTAAAAAATTCAAAATTAATGTTGTGTCAATATGGACTTGAAATCAGTGAAATTAATTTTTAATAGTAAACTACAAAATTAAATTCACTGTAAGTACTAGTCTATATGCTCGTGCAATGACTGATATTATCTGATTGATTCGATGGTTTACCCATGTGTTTTTTCTTTGTTTTGATAGTATCTGATGACTTTGTCTTCAAACTTTTTTAATACGAACGCATTTAAATTGTTATTTTCTTAATATATGATGTTTTGTTCTATGACTTGTTTTTTTTCGAAATTGTGCACAGAACAGAAAAATTGAATGAATCATTCAATTATTAGAAGCTTTAGTCTAGTTTCAATTGCATAAAATACCTTTCATTAAATACTGCAAAAAGGTCAATAGTGCTGTACGAAGTTGCAGCGATTCTTCTATTTTGTATACTTCAGCTAAAAAAATATCGTGTCAATTTGAAGTACTGTTCATTTCACTACTACTAGTGGCACGTGTCAATAATGTCACCAAAATGGCTTATTTTTTTTCGTCTATTTGATCAACCTTGGTGTTTATCTTGAAAATTTCTCACATATGTACATGTACATTTATCTTTTCTTTTGCTTGTTTTTTTTTCTTCTATTCTGTATTGTTATTTTTCTTCTTCCTTAATGTAGACGAGAAGTTTTTCGTGTTGTCAGTTTGTCCCTCTATAGCATTTAGAGAAGCATCATTTGTATCCTAACTGACCTTTTTTGTTCGTGTTTCCTCGTCGTAATATTATCATTGTTATTTATCAGAATAAGAGAAAAAAAAAAGAAAATTTTTTTTCTTTAAAAAAAAATAAAAGAAACAAATATTTGAGTTCCTATTTTTCGTATTTCTCTTCTCCTCCTCATTTTTTCGAATGAGGACGGAGAAAACCATAGATTTTTCTTTCTGATGTTGATGACTGTATAAGATGACGTGTATGTATATATATATATATATATGGGAAGAGAGAGAAAGAATATTCCAACTACTCGAGAGGGAAAAAGAGATGTGTGACAGCAAAATAGCAGGTATAGAGAAGTTAAATATAAAAAACAATTATACTTATAAGAAACAAGTGTTAACATAATAAACTATTCGTCTGTATTCTGTTTTTATTCTTTCTCTAACAATGGTTTGTTACAATACTCAGGTATGAACAGTAAAGTCAAGTCTTTACAATTGAAAGCAGGCAATAATACTTATGAAGAGGCATAAATATAAAATTAGTAAGCGTGATAGGCTAGCAAATGCTTTTTAATTTTTATTTTTAATAACAGTTTCATCATACATTTTCATTCTCGTTATGTGTGCATCATTATTACAAACTTTTTGCTCGTCAAAAATCTGACACATTTTTTTCATGTACTTCGTTTGTTGAATGAAACTTAGTATTTTGAATAAAAATTTTTTTACTAGTTTATACTGTTTGAACTTAAATTTAACACCTTAAATAAGTTTACACTAGTTTTATCGTTTGTAATTAATTACATGGAGAATGAAACCAAAACTCGAATATGACTATAAACCTCTGCACTTTTACCATCATAAACCAAAATAAGAGAAAAAAACAAATAACGATGACGCATAAGAAAAAAGAGAAAAAGACGAAAAAGAAAAAAAAATGTCATTTTAACTTGAGCAATTGAAACGTTGTTCGAACTCGAGATGTATGTTTATTTTCATAAAATCTAGTTATATAGAAGTAGTTTTTGATGAAATTGAATATATACAAAACTATCAATTTATATATTGTTAAAAAACTTGACTCTGTTGTATATGCTTCATTAAAACTTCTTAATATATTACTAAATTTTTTTATTTGATCTATTTTAGCAACCACAACAGCAACAACAACAACAGCCGCCATTACCATCACCGCATCATCTTCAGTTACATTATATTAATAATACCAAAAACCATTTGAATAACTCAAATAATAATAGTAATAATAATAATAATAATCATAATAGTATTTCCGATCAATCAATGGCACTAACAGAGTCACAAGAAGCGTATATACGCTTAGCCAATTATTCAATGAAAAGATCCGAACAACTTGCTCCAACTTATAATATTAGATCGCCAAGACCATATGGTGGTTATGTGGTAAGTGTTATTCTATTAGAATTTTAGTAACAGGAGAATAAAAGCATGTGCTATTTCTGAATATTGAGTATGTATACACAACAATTGGTTGTTGTTTTTTCTAAAAAATGAAAGTTTATTAATTTGAACAGTTGATCTTATTGCTAATTTGTTTTCATATCTCATTGAAACAGATGTTTCATCTTTTTCTATATATATATATATATATATGCAAATGACATCTATTTATGAAAATTGTTAATCGTTTATAATCTCGGGTGAAAAATTGATGATATACAATTACAAAAATATTTATCTATTGTATTGTGTTGAGACGATTGAGATTGAACAATTATCAGTGTTGCTTTAACATCTCATATTTATATCGAATAAAGTCATGGCAAAAGTGAAATTTTTATGATTAATCTTTTGTATGTTCATAATATTGGATTCTTTGTTAAAATTTATCATCAGATGTGAGTCACTATTCCATTCAAGCAGTTTTGTTAGGAGTTAATCATCGTAACAATAGAAATTCATTAAATTTTGGTTTTACCTAATAAATATGTATAATTCTTATATTTTTTTAAAATATGAAACTCATTAGACTGTACACATTAGGTGAATATAAATACATCAGTCAGATAGTTTCAAAATATTCAGTTCTTAAAACATTGACATCTAAATTTGCTTAATTATTGTTTGTTAATGATAGTGATGATTAAAAAAAGCGTATAGACAGACATTTGTATATTTTATCGTACATATTTGAAGTGGATTGGTTTGAATGGCAAAAAAGAAACTCTCGAACAAATGGAATAGTTCTCATCTCATTTATTTCAAGTTGTTATTGTTTTGATCGAGTGCATTCGATACTTCAATTTTTTTAGATGACAGTATTAATGGCCGTTCTTCCATTTATTATAGCAAATACTATCTTCCTCTTTCTCTTTACATCTATATGTAATCTTCTTTCGTTGCGGGTGATAAAAAAGAAAGATTTTTAGTGAATAACAGAGATACCGAGATACCAAGAGAAAGAGAATTGTTCTTATATACCTAACCGCACATACGATGAAAAAGTTTGTATATTCTTTTCCAATCTGTTCTATTTTGTTTGTTCTTTTTCCTCAATAAATATCAACTTAATTATTAAAATTATAAATCAAGTACATTGTTAAACAAAAGAAGAAAAAAAAAAACTGAATCGAATGATGTGTTATACAAACATTTTTCTAATTGTAAGCAACAAAGTAAACTAAAATTAAAATAGAAAAGTAGTCATTTTTAAAATCATTTTTAATCGATGTTCATAACAAATTTTTCATCGACTTTGTCAGTTTTTTAAGACCGATAAATGGATTAATTATATTCAGTTTTTCAGATTTTAACATTCTTCTATATTTTCATTGTTTGTTCATACAAACTTTTTTACTGATAATCAATACATTCTATCTCGCTAGGAACTTATTTTATAGTTAAAAATCAAATCAAAAAATGAGTTATAGCCACATAGTCCTTGAAAATATTTTTATAAGATGTGATCATGAAGATTATTCATACCTTTTTTTATTATTTTTATCTCGTTGAACTTATACACTTGATTATTTATAAAAGAAAAAGCATTTTGTTATTCCGGTCATATACTTATTTTTCTTCAGGTAAAAAATGTTTAAATGAATGTTAATAATCGGCACAGTATGAATTTTTTTTTCGATTTCTTTTATAATACATATTTATACATGGAGATATAGAAATAGACCTTGGACATTTTTTTTTTATTCAATACATGTACATCATTTCAAAATTCTTTTTTTTTTTAATGAAAAAGTAATAAAAGTTTACTTTTGAGTTTACTTTTTCTTAGTTAGAAATTTAATTATTTTTTTTCTTGGATGAGATTGAACAGTAGCACAGTTTTGTTACAATTGTCTTTATCATCGAAAAGACATACACATTTTATTGTTATTCTAAGATTTTCTTGACTATTATTGAGTATAAAAGAATATTAGGTCATATTTCAACAAAAATGATGTGATTAGCACTGCATTGTTCTCTGTGTCTTATCACGATATAATGTTGTTTTATATATATATATATATATATATTTGAAAAGATAAGCGATAGATAAATAGACAGAGATACAGAGTAAATGATTGGAGGATATAACTGACACAACACGTCTTGTTTTTGGAAAGATATAGATACCTACTAGTCTCATAATTTTGAAGTTTCTACTTTGAAATTTTACTGGTAAATAATTGTTTGCTCTGAATATTGGATATTGATGATTGTTTGATACAGAAATACTAGCGAGGAATGTCATAGCGCATTTATCAACTAGGAACAATAAATAAATAATAGATTTTTAACTGATTACAATAAAATCTTTAAAAAAAGATTTTCTTCTAAAATTGAAGCTAGATTTTGAAAAGTAAGAAATTTTTGATAAGTTATTTTGAAGATAATTCATCCAGACATTCATAATCTTCATTATGTATAAATTTTATTATTCTTCTTAATTTAAACTAATGAATTTTTTTATTTCTGATAAAAGAATAAACACACTTAGGAACATTAATCTGATATTGAAATATAATAATAAATCGTAAAGGAAATAAAATAGATGTAAGAAAAAAAAGATGCGTAAATATTTTTTTCTCTGAGCATAACGATAGACTGCATATGCAAAATTTAAGATTTTTGATTTTATTATTGACACCTACACTCAATAGCAACTCTGTATAATTCATAAATTGAAACATTTTTCTTCTCTGTAATCTACATAAAAATTTCTGTATGAGCGAAGAATTCTCGATAACATCATAGTAGAAAAGTTCTTTCGTTAATCAATGAAACAAACACAAGAGAATCATTTTTTCATAAAATAATTCCTTTTTTCTTTCTTTTTTTTCTCATTTTTCGGAAACGGAAAACAAAATGGATTGTTTTATAGGATAAATTTGGGTTTGTTGTTCAAAAACTATTATTTTTCTTCTTTAATTTGCTCTATATCTAAAGAAAACAACAAAAAGAAAAACAGAGGAATTGTATATTAAATATTGACGCCAATTACAATAATACAAAAAGTCTACTACGTTAAAACAGCATGTAAAAGCTAAAACAGATGAAAACTTTTCTAAGTCCATTGATTCTAGTTAGGAGAAATAAATCATTTTAGCAATGGTTAATTGATAAGAAGAAATACGAATAAAGGAGGCAAAAGAAGCATCCATCATTTCTGTCATGTTTTAATAAAAACATCATTTTTCTAAAAATACAACAACAAAAGAAAAAAATGCTTACGCGAACTAGTTTTAAATAAGTTGGAAAGGATATCCCGAAAACGTTAGAATCAGTTAGAAGTATGATGATAATGTACTTTTTGACTTGTAGAAATACTGCGATAAATGTTCGCCTATCGGATAGAGTGGTCACTTTTATATGTCGAGTGTCTAATCGTTAAAAAAAATGTATCTGTTTAAATAATGTTAAGCGAGTTCATAGAGATAGGTGGAGTATATTTGTTTATATCAGGGTTGGGTGAAACCGGGGGTGGGATGGGGTGAAGGTGTACCGAGTCCGATAATTTTTTCAAACTTTTTTGTCTGTCGTTATTTATATTTCTTGTTTCCTATGTCGTACAACAACAGAAAAATTTCTAGAAATAAACTTCTATTGTATATCCCATATTGATATTTAAAAACTGAAAATTTTGCTGTTGATTTATCGAAAAACTTGAATCGATTGGACTCGAAACAAAAACTTAAATTCGAGTCTGAGTCTTTCAAAAAAATTTCCAGTCCAGTCACGGACTCGCCCAGTCTTTGTTCGTATATAGATACTGTTTGAGCATTGTTTTTCTTTCTCTTTTGTTTATGACATGTCGATTTTTCAGCTCACAGTATGAATTAAACCAATCTCTTCAGCTGTAATTAACACATAGAAGATAATAATCAGATCCGGTTAGTTAAATGTGTGATCACCCTACATTATATACTTGTCCAAGAAAATTTTATATTGTTGACTATAAAAGAACCGTTTACAAATGACATTTTTCTTTCTCTCTCTCTTTCTCTCTCTCTTTAAACATAAAACAACAATAACAACATACATGTACATATATATAAAGAGAAAACCTCGAGTATGCATGATTTTATACTGTTTTTCATCTTAATAGATATGAATCGATCAACACACTATAGACTTTTTTTTCAACACCAACTGATGCTTCTTCATTTTTGATCTTTTTTTACTTGGAGAATGAATGAAGAAGAAATTGTATATGTAATATGGCGATTTAATTTCAAATGTATATATTACTATTGTTGTTGTATAAATACATATATAATGTTTTTATAAAGAGTTCCCTCTTCCGCCATTGCATACAACCGTAAACGCTTCATATGTAAATATGTATTGATCTAAACTGATGTATATTTTATAAGGTTTTTTCTCGATAATTTTTACTTTTTTAAAGAAAGGAGTGCTAGTTTGCATGGATGTTATTGTTGTCTGAGGGTCAAGTTACATCTGTCATTATCATCATTAGATATCGCTCTGAAGAGCAAAAAACTTCTTTTCTCTTCTTTTTTTTTGCCCGTACTGTTGGTAATCAGCTGTTTTAAAATACCCAATACAACAAAAAAACAAACCTCATTTGTTTTTCTCGAACTCAATATCCTACTCATTAATAATAGATAAAATCGATCAATTTCTGGTTAAAACAAACAACCACAGATATATGTGACACATGCGCACACAAAGAGATAGAGAACTACATAAGATAGAGGGTGAATGTCTATAAACCATTATTTTTTCTTCTATTTTCTTGTAATAGAATCCGTTTTGTATATATATATATATATATGCACTAGTTGCTGTAAAGCAAATATTTAGGTTGTCTCTGTGTATCGCCTATAGAGAGCTTATTATATTGATGAGTTTTTACTATGATTATTTTTCAGTCATAAAAATTATAGTGTATACACTCGTTTTTTGCTTTTCTTTGCTCAAATATATATAATAAGTACTATACGTAGCGGAAT